GTTTATTGAGTGTGATGTTAATTAAACACTTCAGTTTGAACTGCTTTCATATGTATGGGCAACCAGGACCTGATTTAGCATACTTGAAAAAAAAAAATCAACTGTTACATCAAGAGTGTACTGATTTGATTTATTATTATTAACATGTAATTGTGGAAACATTCCTTCATCTGTCATGTTCTGCAGGGTTGTCGCTTTAAATCTCTTCAAGTATATTCAACCTCTAAATCTCACTGGTGTCAAAGCTTCACAGAAACTCACACATTGCACCATAAATTATATGTTGGTCTTAGAGAGGCTTCAATTGATTTCTTGGTCTCTGGAGAAAGGCCTTAAGTAGTATCCTGACAGTATCAGTTTTTCCAATCAGTTCAGCTAATATTGTTCTAGATGTTTTTAGTAGCTTTGAGTATCACTTTTTTCCTTACTTTTCCTTCAGTTGATGGATACAAACCAGATTCTGACCCTTGCACTTGTTAGTCATATATTCTGAATCCTGGTTTCTGTTTTCCCTAATCCAAAAGGATTTTGGATACAGGCACAAAGATAATAGATTTGACCATGCTCCTGCGCAGATTGCATTCCATGTAGACGGTATTATGGCGTGTGGTGGAATTTATATTTTCACAGGATTAAAAGATGAACATTTATTTTAGACGTAAGGCTTAAATACAAAACGGTGTTCATGGAGACTTCTCTGTCAGAGCGTCAGACAGTCAGATACCTTTTTCAGGAGAATGTTTCATTTGTCTGGGTCATGGTAACCTTTGGTTTATAACTAATATGAATAAAGCTCAGATGGTTATTGGTGAGCCTTATAATGAAGTCAACTCATCTGGTCTTCACTCCTCACTCAATGACTGAGCAGATCCACTTGTGGCTTTTCTCACTCCTAATTAACCAGTAATGAAATGTAACGGATCCTGGCTAGCATCATTTACACCAGTTGTGCACATAATTTTAAATTTCATTGTTTTTATTTTATTACTATTGTTCAGTCAGTAGGTAATACTATTTATATATATATATATATATATATATATATATATTTTTTTTTTTGTTAGTTCAGCCACTGACCACACAGATATTTAAGATTTTTAGAGAGAGTAGAGATTTTTCTTTGATTCAACTGTCTAGACTTAAAAAAAAAAAAAAGTATGAATGCTTACTTTATGTATACTCACTTTTTGTTTGTGCTCCAGAAACTTTAACTACAATAAAGTTGTATTTACAACATCAAGATAAAAAAGATTTATCCAAAAAAGCTATAACTCATGAAGTTTACAGGCTCTGTCATGATGTAATTTTGGAGCCAAAGTCTGCACAAACTTGGTGTTTTTATGCAACAGTTAATTATTTACCGAAAAACATCCAATGAAAAAAAGGGATATTTATATACAGTAGTATACAAAAAGAACTATCGTATTTTTCAGCCTATAAGTCGTGTTTTGTTTTGTTTTTTTTGCATAATTTACATGCCCTGCGACTTATAGGCCGAAACTACCTATTTATGGATTTTTTTCCCATATTTATAAACTAATTTTTTGCTGAGATATGACCGTTTTCATTCATTCTGAATGAAAAAACATTGAGCAGTACCACTTTCAGCCACTTGATGGGAGCAGAATAGTAGTAGCAGTAAGGCATGCTGTTGTATCATGTAATAGGTAAACGTGGCTATAATGACAAATTCAAAAAAGTTCAAGACAAAAATAACTGGACTTTATTTATTATACTTTATTATTTTTGTCTTGAACTTTTTTGAATTTACCATGTCCTGGATGACTGAGAATCTTCACCAGCTATTAATGGCACTGTCGGCTTGCCATATTCCCCCACCTTCGTTCTGCTCGCTGCTTGGAACAACCTCAACTTCATTTTGCTCCACCGCCCCGGTGAAATGCAGCTAATTTGACCATTAAGTGCATTAAGTAAAAGTTCAACTGAGACACAACTTTGCTATAATTTTAAGCAAACAAATAATTGTTTTTAGGTGGTTATCTTGTTAAATTTGCAGATACTTGTCGCGTGCACGCGTTTACTTCCGCGTTTTGGCTTTTGAAATGCAGCTGATTTTACTGTCAAAATGCATTTATTAAGCAAAAGTTAAACTGAGACACACCTTTTCTATAATGTTGAACAAACAAATAATTGTTTTTAAGTGTTAATCTTGTTAAATTCTTGTTAAAGTCCTCCCGTGCACGCTCCCGCAGCCGCCATTTGGCAGCCCATTGATTTTTGGCACAACACCGTCCCACATTTCTGGGTTTGGCCCACATTTCCAGGTTGTCAGCGGTGACGCATAATAGATGTGACGTATATGGCGAAGCAACATATTTATGGATTTTTCCAACTTTTTAGACATATTTGGACCGATGCGACTTATAGGGCGGTGCAGCAAGTACGTCGGAAATTACAGTACATGAATCAACACAGGTCAACGCTTTGAATGGGTTTTTTTTAAGCTATCGTCTTATTCGCTTACTACAGTCAGACTATAGGGGGCAATATTTCTGTTTTGCCTTAGATTTCAACATTATCTTCCAGAGTCCAGTCACATGCTGAGTTACCATTATTTCTATTACCCTTTGTCTTTAATCTCTTTCCAGTAAACTTTGCTCTGGCACAGAAAAAGTCATGTCAAAGCCATGTTCCAAATATTCCTCTTTAGTATTTTGATGTGTTGTACAATCTACTGGTGCAGCATATACATTTCAGCACTTTCCTTGCAATTTATATTTCTCAAAAAATAATACTGTTATTGAGTAATTTTTTTTTCTCTGAAACTATTCCGTTCAGTTTATTTATATAGCGCCAAATCACAACAGCAGTTGTCTCAGGGCAACGAACAAAATCATTTGCATACACACAAAACCCAATTAGTAAAAGTTATCTACCGGTATCTAAGGACAGAAGCCAGCAGACGCATTGAATCTTGACTTCGTCGCAGTCTCCCATCCTGAGCAAGCACAAAGGCAACAGTGGAAAGGAAAAACTCCCCAGAACCTCCAGCAGAACCAGGCTCAGGATAAGCAGCCATCTGCTTCGACTGGCTAGGTTTGAGAGGACAGAAAGGAGAAGCAAACGAACACAGAGTGGCAGATCCAGGTGTAGGTGCAGGTGTACCTCCTATTGGAAGAAAGACAAAACACAGATGCTAAACTGTTTTAAGATGAAAAAGAAGAGTGTATGTACAGTAGTGTCAACAAAAAAATAAAATTCAGTTGTCTGGGAGCCATTCTGTCAGCCATGTTCAAAATAGACTTTAGTATTTTGATATGTTGTTAAAGTTATTGCTATAATCTGCTGGTGCAGCAACATTTCAGCATTTTTATTGCAATTCTTGCTTTTCCAAAAAAAAAAAATGTTTTTTTGTTTGCTTAAAAAAACAATAATCTAGCCTAATTTAACGTAATTCACTCAGTACTGTTAGTGAGTGGGGGGGGGGGGGGGTGTTCTCCAAAACTAATGTTTTAGCTGTTTTAGCTGTTGGTTATCTCCAATCAGATTTTTGAACGGAATTGAATTGAACTGAATAAATAATGTGTTAAACAGCATAGTAACTGTGACAACTTTCTCTGAGCAGGCTTTACCCATAGAGCCATGTGAGGGAAGTTAATGGAATAAATGAATAAAACCCATCATCTGGTTTACCTTTGACCCCTTTTCTCATAGGTAACATTAAAGTACCTGTGCACTCTCTCTTAAAGTGGAAGGATGTTCTCATTTTTCATGTCAGTGTTCCTATGGAGTACACTTGCAATTAAATATATATTTAGTGAGCTATACGGCATAAGCTCAGAGTTTTCCCACTGAAAAATACTGTACACAATGTTGCCATGATAGTTCATGTATAGGAGACAAGCCCTGTGAGACTGACTGTATGTAGACATGATATATCAGCCATGCTAAATCCAGCTGATAGCGTTGCTTTTCTTTCATGTGATAACTTGCTGCACAGGTTATCTGTGCAGAGCAAGATCTAGCGGTTTAAGGTCCCCGTTACGCCATCTGCCCACATTTAGACAGATGTCATATCCATCTGGAAAAAATCTGTAGAATGAAAGTGTGTTGTGACTGAAAAAAAGCAAAGAGGTTAGGATAACAAAACAGCTCAGTTTAGCAAATTTAATCTCTTTTTGGTGTTTGTGATTTTGCAAAATTCTTCAGAGATTGAATCGCACTGTATGTATGGTAATAACTATTGCAACAGCTCTTTTATTGCCACTTTTGTTGTTGTCTTCCAGAACTCACGTCTTTTATTTGCCTATGTTTACACCAAACGTCCTTCATGTTTTTATTTCTTATATTATAACAGCAGAATTGCTCCAGTTGGCACAAACGATCAGGGAATGAGTAGATATTAAATGACATCATTGGGGTTTTGCTCCAAATTTGGACCTGTAGCCTGTAGGTTTTAATGGCAAAGCGATGGAGTAATAAGCATCGCTGGTTGCAATTATGTCCTATTCTAAATGTGTAGGACATAACAAATTATAAGCTAAATATCCTTTAGAGGAATGTAATTTTACACTAAAAGTTCCTCTTTTTTTTCCCCCACAAATTGTACATGATTAAGCCATCATACAATTAACAACACAAACGTTACATGCACACATGTTTATCCTCAGAGATATTTACTGTGGGAGGTTTTGCGGGCCTGCGTGGTTCTAAGTTGTGTGTTTGAAAGTATTCAGGCCGGCTGCTTTTGGTTTAGCTGTGGCCAACATGAGCACAGTTGTCACTCAGGAAAATGTGGAACAGCCAAAACATAAAGTGGAAATGTTAACCCAATAACGCTAAATAAACATTCGGAGGAGTGAAGCCAAAGGCAACAGAGAGGGATAGGAAAGTGTCCTGCTGGCATCAGGTTTCCCATAGTAAGTGTTATTTGAAAAGCAGCTGAAGGGTGACACTCACTCTCCTCCCCACCCAATTTCCCACTCTCCCTCCCTCCACACTCACATGACCATCTGTTGTTGGCTGTTTTTCTTTTTCAGGCTGCTCTAAGTGCCTTGAAACAGCTGTCGGAGCAGGGACTGGACCCAGTAGATGGCCCCATCAAGGTACAGTAAGACACTGATGGTGCCAAACTGTACAATCACTCATAGTTGGACCAGTGAGGGAGGATGGATGCCATTGAGGAGGAAAGATGTGTGTTTGCGTCAGTCTAGCAGAGTGCAATTTTTTAGCGATTTAGGCCAGCTTATTAACACATTCCGCCGTTTTTCTTTAGAAGAAAGCCACATTGTGCATTTATAAATATATATGTACTGTACGCCAGTAAGTGTTACATAACTTGCATGAGTATTACGTCTGCTGAGTCTCAGTCATAGCGTACAGGTTGCTTATCTCCTCCACCACCAGAAAGGAAGTAGGAAAGACGACAGTGATGAATACAGTGGGAAAGTATGAGTAATGTGAGAGGTTGTTAAACCAGGGAGGAAGTCGTCAAGTGTTTTGGAGTATTTTCATAGTAGGTCTGGCTCTAGAAAGATGCCTTGAAGAAGAAATCTACAAGATTCATTTACCTCCCCAACAGAGATAAATATGGCAGCAATTACACTGTGACTTGGATCACTTACTTCTTACTTCGATTTTTCCCAAATAGTCTTTAAAACCCATTATTTACCCATACCATGCTTGGTTGTTTGAATCCAGGCCATTTTTAGAACAAAGTACAACTTCAAACTTACTCATTCCTTCTTGTCCCATCATCGCCATTTCAGTGGTTTCTTATAAAACTGCAAGCAACTTATCAGTTACTGTGAAGGTCAAGAGCATCTTAAGTGTCTTGAGTCATAGTTTCAGCTCTTTTAGTGTCTCTCATTCTAGAGGAATCACTTTTTTTTTTTTTTAGAATTACTCACTGATGCTTGAGTGAATCCCAGTATCTTCACGAGGAACGCAAAACAAATTACCCACCAAGGGAGTGATTGTTTGTAACATTGCGCAAGTCATTTGAGAAATCCCACCCACTCCACCTAACTCAACTCAATTTGTCTTTTCAGACCGCTGAACCATGTGGGAGGGAGGACGGACATTAAACAGACTAACTCAGGCACCACCACTCAGGTCTGCAAGGATTCAAAGGCTGTCGTCAAGGAGCTGACACCACCAGACCCCTTCAACCAAACTGACCCCATTCCCTCATACCCTACAACCCATAATATCCCAAACTTACCCCCCTCCTATCCCCAACCGTACCCCACGATTGCCACTGTATCCTGCAAAACCTGTAAACATGCAATAGGGTGGATGTGCACCAAGAAATGACCGACTAAAACGCCCGTACCTGAGTCTATGTGAAGACAACACTATCTTAACATGTTTATTGATCATTTCAGTCAAAATTTGGACAAAACAAATACGGAAAACACAAGCAAGAGAGATGATTGCATGGCAATGTTTGAAATCATGGGAAGTCCAAAGCGATTCATTCTGTAAGCCAGTTTTCCATTTAGAGAAGTTGGTATGGTTAAAACAAATCTGTACATCATGCTATTGAATTACAAAAGAAACCTTTAAGGGGAGAAACCAACTGACGCACCGTAGCTTATTTTTCCCAAGGTATTATGTTACTTTTTTTTTTTTTTGTTATTTTATTAATCTAACAATGCTTGAGTACTGTATTTAAAATTAACCAATGCCAGTGCTGTGAAAGTTGTAGTTGTTGTCTTCATATATAGTCACCCAGCTTACCTTGTATGCTGACAAAAGAAAAGAGAAAACAGTTCATCTATCTATATGGATGTGTACAACTTTGCAAGAATATATATATAAAAAAAAAAACTCTAAAAAATTTTTATGTGAACAAAAAGGACAAAACTGGTGTTAGCATTAATTATTAGAAGTGTTGCCCACCCAGTAGGGAAGGTCAGACCAGCCTCTTCTACTTCTGTGGGTCTACCTGTCCCGTTTTAACATGACCACACACTGGCAGATCATCACTGGAGCATTGCCTGAACAACAGCCATGGTCGGGGAGTGGGGGGTGTCACAGTGGTTCTTCTTAAACAAAGAGGCCAGTTGTAATTGACAGCGACTAGACGTTTGTGCACATCCTCTAATGCCAGTAAACTTTGACCTTAGAGTCCAAGAGTTAAGCACAGACTGCATGTTCTCCAGTGATAGAGATGTTCTCATCATTCCGGTGATTTTGTGTCAGTGGATCATCCCCCAATGTTTCTACCCCCCTCAGCAGTTTTGTCGATCACATCTACACCCATTGTGTGTGTTATATGACTTGCCAAGGCATCAACTGGGTGCTTTTAATGCCTGCAGTTCTGAAGTGCACCTTTGGATTGGGGAGAGCCCGTGGCCAAACTGCCGGCTCCCACCACTAAAATGCCACTTCGGATCCCTTTGTCCACTGACATTGAGGATGTGTCGTCTTCTTCGCTGTGAGTGCAATGTGTTATAAGGCCGTTTGTTCCTGAAATGCAGTAAAATCACCTCAGTTCATGTGAAAAAAATGTCTGTTTATTGTCTTTTTTTCCTTTCTACTAACAGGTTTGGACAATATTTCACCATAGCTGTGTTCAGCACATTGATTTTTACCTTACAAAGGACAGCAAAAAAAAAAAAATCAGATTAGCTATATTACTAATGGTGTTGTAGAGAGAAAGCTAATGCATATTCAAAAAGAAACCCATGATGTGTTGTCTTTACACTGAAAGCCTGAAAACATTTGCACACTGACATCAGTAGGTTTATTTCACTGTATACAAAATCACATTAAATAACCATTAAATACTAAATATAAAGATAAAGTTCAGAATCTAACTTTTAATTGTATAATGTGGGCAAAGATGATATCCCATATGGGCAAAATTTGTCCTGAGGGCCAAAAGCAGCCCTTGGACCATCTTCATCTGGCTCTTCACATGAATCTTAAACTATATGCAGTAGTCCCTCGCTACTTCGCAGTTCAGTTTTTCGTGCACTCACGCTATCACAGTTTTTCAAAATAAGATTGGACATGACACACAATTGGCTGATTGATGGATGAGCCGCACGATAGGCATGGAATTTTTATTTAAAATAAATTATTTAGCCCCTGCTGCACCTGTGTGCAGCCCACAGCTGCAGGAGGATCTTCCACCTGCAGTGTGTCATGATTTCCACCCTGTAGCAGAGAAGTGGGCATGGCCGAGAGCGCTGGCAGATGGCCGAGAGCGCTGGCAGATGGCAGAGTGCAGCGGGAGGCAGAGAGTTGAAATCATGACAGGCTGTGCTCTTTTAGAGCATTTAGAAACATTGTTTAGAATATTGCAAGATTGTGATACTTACTCCTTGTATTACTATTCTTACTTCGCAGTTTTTCACTTATCGCAGAGCTTCAGGGTCCAGACCCCCCACAATAAATGAGGGACTACTGTAAAGAAACCAACAAACACTGATTTTATTAATAAACCTTTAGACTAAAATGGGCCTAAACTCTTCTTTAACCCTTTAAACATAAAGCTTCAAAACCAATCAAAGGAATGGCTCTAAATGTTGCATTGTTTAACCAAAATGTCATAAAACATTACTGGTAGTACTGAATTCTTGAAAAATATGATTTAATGTATGATGGGTGATTGTAATTTATGTTTCAATTCAATGTGTGACCCTTCAATTACCCAAGTAAAATTGGTGCTATATTGGGCCAAAAAGTTAGACTTTTACTAAAAATCTTCATCTCTTGTATGCAGCGCTATTATTATCATAAACTGAAATATAACTTGTTAAAGCTGACTCGTGTTTTACTGCCAGGTGGATTCTAGTTATTTTTTCCTTAAATGTTAAATGCTTGTGCCGTTCATAAACTGTAAAAAAACAGTCTCCTGAAACATCAGAGATGTCCTTTAGGAAGATGTCAGTGTCCTTTTTCAATATTAGGACAAAACAAGACTGCTCTGTTGAAGGTAGACATGAACAAATCAAAATAACTAGAGAAATTATATTTCCTGTGAAAATGCAGTGTGACTGCTTAATGCAGAAGAACTGGCTGAAAAACAGCTGAAAGTAGCTTGAAATGTAGCCAAAATAGATGAGCAAGCCTAAATTAGCAGAGGAAAGGAATAAAACATAGTTGCTGAATTAGGATTGCAAAAAAAATTAAGAAATTAGCTAAAAAAACAACAACAACAAAAAACAGCTGATATTAACAAAAAAAGTAGCTAGAAAACAGAAGCTAAAATTACCAGAAGGGAGTGGAGAGAGAACATTTTACATGAACTAAGCTGGGAAAAGTTGAAATGAGTGCAAAAAATGCAGAATTAGCTGAAAAAGCTCAAATTAGCATTAAAACTGCTAAATAGTAGTTGAAATAGAAGAAAAAGCTGAAACTTGGAGAAATAAGCCAAAAGGAGCATAACAAGCTGAAATTAGCAGAATGAACTTGGAACAAATTAACAATGTTGTAGTTAGCAGAAAGAATCTGAAAGGAGCACAAAACAGCTGAAATTAGCTGAAATAAAGTTTAAATTTGCGCAAAGACGCTGAAACAGAACAAAATGTGAAAGGAGCAGTAAAAGGTTGTAAACAGATCTAAAGATTTGAAGGATGGAAAATGAGCTCAATTCATTTTCTAAGAGGGAAAAAAAAATGCAGAAAAGGCTAAATATTTCAAAAAGCTAACGTTGCACCAATACCAAAAGTCACAGCACCTTTCTGAACGAGCTGAATGTTTCGATGTACGATTGTTGAAATGACACAAAAAATGTGGAATATGAAAGACGCCCAAAAACATACAGAAGAAAAATGGATCACAATAGTGTGAATGCTTCATAAACATTCACACAACGAGAGCACCGTTAGGTCGAATGGTGCGAAAAGTGTGATGCATAAAATAATGTACAACTGCATGAGCATGTGTGTCTTTCAACAGCACAGGGTTACTAGTGTTCATAAGGCCGAAGCAGCTGAAGGAAAACTGCGCAGATTCAAATAATTGGACTTCGCTTCACAGCAGGTGAGTGCTAATTCAAAACGAATGGAGATCATTTGTTCTAGTCAGAATACAATATCCTGATGTTCTTCACATTTGCTACATGTTGATCCAGCCTTACAAATAAGTGACCGCAACATGTGGAATGTCACATCTGCTCAGTTTCCACAGCTAAGAAACCTGTTGTGTGAAGAACTCCCGCAGGTAACTTCATAATGCCCATTATGTGACGTCATTCTGTCTTTTCTACATGGTTCCCACACGCTCCTCCGCATGTGCTGTCCCTAACCGTCTGCATCACCAGACCCTCTGCCCCCCTCCCCATTAGCGAGATAGATGAGTGAACAGGACAGCGGCAGTCCTAATTCACCCGCGCTGACTAATGGACTCTGTTGGCAGCTACATCTGCTTGCCATTGAGAAACACCAAAGCTGTTCACACTAGCAGCAGATCTCTATTCCAGAAGCTTTTTCCAGGTTGTAGAAGACCAGCTTGAGGCCTCGTTAGCCCCCAAGATGAATCGCCCGTCTCCGACCAGCCAACGTGGATCTTAGTGCCCAAAATAGAAGAAAATCGATGGGGTGGTGGAGCTCGACTGTGCCATGCTAAAGCAAATGCCAGTGTCATTGATTTCTCTCTAGTTATGTGCTCCTCCTAATTAGAGGAAGATAAAATGTCTATAATTCAGTCAACCTTTATTTAGACAGGTTTATCTCATTGAACCTCGAGGACTCATTTACAAGACCTGATGTATAAATATAAATGCAACGATTGTGATTTTCATCAAATGAATAAAGAAAATGTTACAAATCTTCACATTTTAAGCTGGACTATTGCAATGGTTTATTATCCGAGTGTCCAAATATTTCTTTAAAAAGTCTTCAGTTGATCCAAAATGCTGCTGCCAGAGTTTTAACTGGAGTTAGGAGAGATCATATGTCTCCAGTTTTAGCTTCTATCCATTGGCTCCCTGTCGAATTCAGAACTGAATTTTAAATCTTACTTCTAACCTACAAAGCCCTCAACAACCTAGCTCCATCTTATATTTGAGATCTTATTGTCCCATACTTTCCTAACAGAGCACTTCTCTCTCAGACTGCAGGTTTCCTTGTGGTCCCTAGAGTTTCCAAAAGCAGAATTGGAGAAAGCTCTTTCAGTTATTAGGCTCCTCTCTTGTGGAACCAACTTCCAGTTTCTAAACCCGGGACCTGCTCGCTGAGAGGCAGCAGCTCTATGACTTCTGTTGTGACTTGGCGCTATATAAATAAAGTGAATTGAATTGATTTGCATTAGACCCCAACAGTAGCTGCAAGCAACTTGTTCCCAGAAGGGTTAAAACTTTTCTTTTACTGAAATCTGCCTCTGAGCAAGTTTACCAAGTTTGGGAAAAATATGGCGAAGAAGCTCAGACATCTTTTTTTCTTCTTCTTCTTATCACTTAAAAAGTAGTTTGTTTTGTACAGAGTCACTGCCATCTTATTTTGAAAAGACTCCTCTTTTGTCAGCTCAACAGCCTAATTCTTCTTGGACGGTTTATTTTTTAGTTCAGACCCAAAAAAAACAAAAGAGTATTATGAGGTAAAGCTATGGCTTGAACAACTTTAAATGAAAGCAAAGAAGTCACATTTAAGAAATTATTCATAAATTGTCAGGGAAATATAAAAACAGAGTTTTATTTATTTATTTATTTCATCAATAGACCATTTTTAAGCTTTTACGTGTACTCACGCATCTTGGTAGGCTGTGATGTATGTGCAAAAGTACACACCTGCAGGCCAAAGCTCGTGACTTTGGTGTTTCTAAATTAATAACCCCCTTTTTTTTATTATTGCACTTCAAAAATGTGTTCAGTCTTCAACATTGTAAGGCTCCTTCACACCAAGAAAGATATTTTAAACACATTTTAACATCGTTTAAACAGTTTGATTGGGGGCGTAACTATAGTAAAATAATAAATCTTAAAGATGAGACTCAAAATCACAAATGAAAAGGCTCAGATCTTTAACTTTCAGGTAGAAACGTGTGAAAAGCACGACGTTCACTCTGAAGGCTCAGGAACATCGCTGAAAACTTCAGTCAACACTGTTTGTTCAGCATTTTTTAATTTAGTTAAACTGATCATATCCCATAGTTTTAAGGTTTAGCATAACTTTCAAAGCATAAAATCAACAATGACTGACTTTCAGGCACAGATTTTATTTTATAAAAGACATTACCAACCTAAGTTCTTCAAATCTCAGAAAAAATAATAAAAATAATGAGCTGGAAGGCAGTGCACAAACCGCTCAGCAGTTTGAACAAGCGGGTTAAAATCCAGCTAATGACATCTTTGCAGACACCAATTAGGAAATTAGTCTTTCTTCTTGTTTTCCTCTGGGAAACTAAAAGGTCAGCTACATAACAGCTGCGGTGGAAATGTTAGGAATTTTATTGTTCTGCTCCCAGATGGCTCATTGAGGCAAATGGAGACATATTCACACAAGCATAACGGCACTGATGCATGTTTTTACTCGCTGTTAGGAAACCCAGGCCGTTCATTCA